TATAGTCTGGATTCCTCTCTAGGAACTTATAAACTGAAATTAAACACTGTATTTGAGGTGGATTCCTTTACGGGATTCCAAAATAGAATATGCTCTATTCCCCCTTCCTAGCACAATCACGCACCCACAGGCATAACCAGTGTCATGATCATTCTCCAAGCGCAATACCCCCTTCTCTCCCAGTCACAACCGCCAGACACTGTACCTAAAACTCCAGCCATTCCTAAAGCACTTCTTGGCCTTCGTCAGGTGAAGCTCCTCCGCGTCGACACCATCACCCTCCTCGGCAACCACGACACAGCCATGGCGGTGGAAGGGGCGGCCAGGGCTCTGTGGGCGTGCAGTGTGTCTCGGGCGGGGCGAACTGCACTGCTGCGGGCTGGTGGACTGGAGATGGTGGGCGGGCTTTTGGGCGTGGCTCGTCCTAGCCTCCTTGTCCCGGTCGTGGGCGTCCTGCACCAGTGCGTGGCTGAGGTGAGGCTCCTGAAGGCTGAGCGAAGTCTTCGTGAAATGGGAAGAATGCAAAGCAACTTGCAAAGTCTTCTCTACGTCTTGGACAGGAGAGAAGCTACGTTTATCTATCAGTCTATCTGTCTGTCTTTTAGTTTATTTGTCAGTCTATTAGTTTATTTATCTATTAGTCTATGTGTCTCTTAGTCTTTATATATATCAGTCGATCTCTTTATATATTATTCTGTATATATATTAGTCTATCTGCCTGTTTATTGGTCTATTTGTATATCTATTAGTCTATCTGTATGCTTGCTATCTGTGTATCTATTTGTCTATTTGTCTATCTTACTCTACCTGTATATATATTAGTCTATCTATCTATCAGTTATCTGCCTATCTATTAGTCTATCTGTTAGTCTATCTATTAGCTGTCTGTCTATTAGTCTATCTGCCTATCTATTAGTCTATCTATTAGTCTATCTGTTAGTTTATCTATTAGCTGTCTGTCTATTAGTCTATCTGCCTATCTATCCGTCTATCTGTCAGTCTATGTATTAGCTGTCTGTCTACCTATCTATTAGTCTATCTATTAGTCTATCTGCCCATCTACTAGTCTATCTATCTACTGGTCTATCTCTCTATCTATCAGTTTATCTCTCTATTGGTCTATCTCTCTATCTATCAGTCTGTCTGTATATTAGTATATCTCTCTATCTCTCCCGCCGAGGCTGTGTTCCGAGAGCGCGTCGAATCTGCCGGCTACACGTCCGCCCTGGTCAAGCTGTTGCACTCACCGACGCCGCAGTTGCAGATCCTCGCCACGAAGGCCATAGCGAGGGTAGGTTGAGCTCCGCGGCGGCTGGAGTAAGGGTTCGGTTGGGTGGACGGTTGGTGTGTGTGTGTGTGTGTGTGTGGGTGGGTGGGTGTAGGGGTGGGTGGGGGTGGGTGGGTGTGGGGGTGTTGTGTGTGTGTGTGTGTGGGTGTAGGGGTGGGTGAGGTGGGTGGGTGGGTGTGGGTGTGTGTGGGTGGGTGGGTGTTTGGGTGTGGGGGTGTGGGGGTGTGGGTGTGTGTATGTATGTGGGGGTGTGTGTGGGGGGGGGGGGTGCGTGTGCGTATATCTGCACGTATCAGGCACATATAAACCCGCACCCTTGTCACAACCAAATCGAACCCCCTTCCTCCCTCACGTTCCCTCCGCCTTGTCTCCAACACGCCACCCGCTCCCGTCCTCCCGCCTCGCCTTCGCCTTCGCCCCGCAGTGCTCCGTGCTGGAGGCCACCAGTTCTCGTCTGGTACGTGAGGGCGGCCTGGAAATGCTGGTCAACATGCTGCGTCGGGAGGCCAAGACCTACGTCGACGTCCTCATCGAGAAGGACCTCGCCTTCGCCAGGGAGTACGGGCTGGTGATCGACGCCCCGGGGGTTCCTCGCTCCAGAAAGGTGGGCGGCGGGGCGGGGAAGCTGCGCCAGATACGCTAGATGGGCGCCATAGTCTGTAATTAGATGGGCAGATGGAGAGGGAGAGGTAGATGGAGAGGAAGATGTAGATGGAGAGATAGATGGAGATGGAGAGATAGATGTAGATGGAGAGACAGATGTAGAGATAGAGATAGATGTAGATGGAGAGATAGATGGAGATGGAGAGATAGATGTAGATGGAGAGACAGATGTAGAGATAAAGAGAGATGTAGATAGAGAGACAGATGTAGATGGAGGTCTAGAGATAGAGAGAGATGTAGATGGTGAGACAGATATAGATGGAGAGATAGATATACACAGTATAGTCTATATATAGAGAGAGAGAGTAGATGAATTTATAAATATAGATGAAAGTAGAAATATTTACACATATATAAAGTCTATTTATAGATGGGTAGATGGATATATAGATATAGATAGAAAGACAGATAACCAAAAAGATAGGCAGGTAAAGCAAAGTAAACAGATAGATAGATTGATTGACGGATGAAAAGAGAGAAGAAGGATTATGGATATTTATTGGCATGCTAATAGGGAGATTCAAATTGAAAATGCAGAAGAGTGGAGAT